AACTGGAGGCCATCCTGTTGAGGGCCAATCCAGACCAATGGTTGCAATTTTCAGCTCGTTTGTTTTTGACCGTTTAAAAGCTGTTCCTGAAATTGTAAAACTTGAAAGCTCAGATGGTTTGTGGGATAATCCACTATATGTACTTTATAGAGGAGCGAGGTTACATTTGCAACCATTGGTCTGGATTGGCCCTCAACAGGATGGCCTCCAGTTGTTTTTATAGTTGGACTTGGCTTTAGCTTCTCAAACGTAACAAAAATGAGCCCAATCTTTATTTGCAATTTTGGGTGAAAAAGAACTGTGTGTAAAGGTTGTCTGACAACTTTTGCTTAAATTGTCGCATTGACCCCATGCCCCAAGAGCTGACTAGCCTGTTCCAACATTCTCTCTACACTTGGGCTTACTTCCTGTAGCATGGTCAACAAGGATAGCTACCAAACCTTAGAACTATTTAGTTGTTTCTAACCTGACCATCTAGCCTCTGAAACTGTTTCCCCTGGTGACTGAAGTAAATAGGTTGAATGAGTAGAAACAGATAAACAAAATAGAAAAGGACAGCCTAGAAATTCCTTGTGTAGTGTTGGGGTGGGGGTTAATAGATTTGGAGAGAAATGCATATTATTATTGTGAGAAGAGGGAAAGAGAAGCTGTAGTCCATGAGAAACATATTGGATTAAGAGTTGGATGTGGTGTTGTTATAATTCTGCCTGACTCAGTAATTTAGTCAAATGCAGTTCACTTGCTTGTGTGATATAAATCTATCTCCCTGTTCCAAAAGATGAGGCATACTTGGTTTAGATTATAAATTGAATGCTGTCCACTGGTGTTTTGTAATTTAAATGAATCAACACAAGTTATTTTATTGCAATGCCCACCTCCAATTTTTTTTTTAGGCATTCTCTGTCCGCATGAATGTATATTTTATTTCCCTTCAATCTTTTCAAAATGTACTTTGTGGAATCAGATGGCACCTATGAGCAGCAAATGATGTGATTCTGAGTTTTGAAATAACTTTCTATCAAAATCTCAAATGTGATTGTAGTTAAACCTGGGCTTCAAGATTCTTCAGAATGTATCATTGTGGTACTGATCAAATTAGTTAATTGTGTTTCTGCTATGTTTGCTGAATCACAGCCACTGATTAGATTGAGATATGATATAAAATTCAGAGGTCATGGTTAATTTGGAAGATGCTCTAACCTAGCTAGAATAGGATCATAAAATGGTTAAGTTTAGAAGGATATGCCCATGGAGCAATGAAGGCAAGATATTGCAGATCCTGGAAATCTGAAACACAGAACGCTGGAAAAACTTAGGTCCAGCAGTATCTGTGGAGAGAGAAACTTTTCGTGTTTGGTATGACACTGTTCTGAGTTTTTCCAGTGTTCTGTATTTGTTTCTCTTCAAGAGCAGCTCCAGCTGGTACCACTCACCTGCCTTTACCATCTATATTTCTCTCTCAAGTTGCTTATGCAATCAGGCAGTGTATTCTAGCAAATAGCTGCCTAAAAGAGGTTTCTTGCCATGGCGCGGTTAGCCTTTTTTGCCATTCACCTTCTATTGATATCCTCTGACCCTTGATCTTTAGTAACAGCAAGAGCTTGTCTCCAGTTATTCCATCAAACTCTTCATGTCTGAACACTTTTTTTTTATCAAATCTCCTCTTGTCATTCTCTTCTCTGAGGAAAGAAAAACTCCAATCTACCACATAATTGACCTCTCTCATCCTTGCAGCTGTTCTCAGGGAATCATTTTTACACCCTCTCTAAGGCTTTCCCATTCTTCATGAATTGTGGGGTGCAGGATCGAACGTAATGTTCTCCGTGAGTCTGAATAAGTGTATAATGGTTCAATATAATATCTGTGTTCCATGTCTTTGTTTATAAACTCTAGGATCCTGGATGTCTTCCTAACCACTTCCTTGTACATCTTTTTGTACATCTATCATCAGGTGCCTTTGTTTTGCTGAACCCCCTTTGGATCTACACCCTTGATTTTATAAGGCCTTGCCTCATTCTACCAACCCAAATATAACATTTTATGCATCTCTTCAAAATATTTAATCTGCCATCAGATTAAATGATGCCCATTCCATCAAGTTTATCATTATCCACCTCAGTTCACAAAACTTTCATGTTTTGTATCAACTGTGAGTTATGAAATTGTCCTGCTCACTGTACATTATTAATACAGATCAGGCAAAGTATGGGTCTTAGTGTTCACCCCTGAAAAACCATGCTCTGTACCTTCCTGTGGTGGAGGAAAACTGTTCAGTCATCTTTATGTTCTTGCTGCTGCTGACTCTTTTTTATTTGATGGATTTGACTAAAGCAGCAAATCTATCACATTGTACTTTATGAAATGCCTTTGAAAATCCACGTACACCACATTGACTGTATTATTCTCATCAATCCTCACTGAGCTTGTCATAAAACTGAATTAATTTAGCGAAATATGATTTACCTTTAGCAAATCAAAACTGCCTGTCCTTAATTCACTTTTTTGTCCAAATTACTTGTTCACCTTGTTCAGGATTACTATTGGTAAATCCTTGGCCACCACTGCGGTTAAAATGCCTGGCCTGTAGTTGCTAGGGTTATCTTTATAATCTTTGTTGAGCAAGGGTGTCACCAGTCCTCTGATATGATCCTTGTACATAGAATGGATTGGAGTATTGCAGGCAATGCCTCTGCAATTTTATTCCTTTCTCGTCCCTCAGTGTCTCTGAATGTATATGAGGTTAATGGTCCAGGAACATGGATTTGAATCCTGTGGTGGCAGATGATGAAATTTTAATTCGGCGAAAATCTTAAATATAAAACTAATCTAATGGCAACCATGTAACTGCTGTTAAAACCAGAAGAACTGTAGATGTTGCAAATGAGAAAAAAACAGAAATTGCTGAAAAAGCTCAGCAGATCTGGCAGCATCTGTACAAGAGAAATCAAAGTTAATATTTTGGGTCCAGTAACGCCCATCCCGCCCACCCCCAGAACTCTCCTCTTGTCCTGAGGAAGGGTTTCCAGACCCGAAACATTAACTCTGATTTCTCTTCACTCCTCTCTTCTTCCTTTCACCCCACCATCACTATCACCAAGTGGGTCTGCCAATAGTTCTGGCCACTCTTACTTTATCTGGTACTGCTGTGACTACAGAAAATCACCAGCTACTAGATTGCCTACAGCTCTCGAAGGCAGGCCTTTCTCCAGAGAAAGTGGGGTTTGGGGGTGGGAAAAGAGGTTTTACCTTCAAGCAGATAATGCTGCTTTTGGAGTTAAATCACTGCAGGGCAATTATTGGGATTGTCTGAGCCATCCTGAAAATTTAGTCCATACTGATCTCGCAAATTCTCCTGAAAATGCTTCAAAACTCATTCCTCTCTCTACCTTTTACACTATTACAAACCCAATTTATGCTGCCAGACCCACTGAGCTTTTCCAACGCGTTCTGTTTAAGTAACTACTGTTGATTTGGTACAAAAACCCTCTAATTTGCTAATGTCTTTCAGGAAATGAAATATGTTAATACTATCCTTGAACCAAGTGAGTTACTGGACCATTTCAGAGGATGTTGCTGGCTCAACTGGATAAATACTGATTTAGCCAGCAGCATACACCTCCCATGAATGAATGACAAAACTCCTAAATTGTGACTTATTAACTTTAAGTACGGTCAGCCTTTTAAAAATTCTTTTACCTGCTCAGTACAGTGAATGTTTTCACTTTCACTATGACTCTTGCGCGTGATCTTTGGTAAAATCAGATGTGAATACTCATTTAATACTTGGGTCTGCCCTCTACTTCCATGTGTAAATCTGCTTTCTTTGTCCCTATTTGGCTCCGTACCACTTTGCCATTGCTTAACTATATATACGTGTATAGAATACTTCTGGATTATTTTTGATGTTGTTTGGTGGTCTCTCTTTATATTGTCCCCTCATTTCCATTTTCTTTGTCCTTTTGAACTTTCTATATACAGCCTGCATATCATTTGTATTATCAACTGACATCTGTTATACACACCCCCTCTATCTCACTTCGTATTAATCTGCCAAACCAGAGTTCCACTTGTTCAGCCTTTCCCCAATACGAGAATGAACCTTGATTGTACGAAGTATCTTCACTTAAAGTTGTAGTTGCTTTATTTAAAACAAATTTTAGTGAAGCAGTAATTTTCATTATTTGTGTAGGGACTTTCCTTAGAGGAAAAAAAATTAAAGCATTATGCCTGTACTCTGTAAGTTTGAAATAGAGTACTTTTAAATGGCTAAATTCTCACATTTGGTAAGTGAAATCATTGTTAAAGTCTGTTTTGCTGTTATATTTTGAAACTTAACTTTCTACAAGAGGGTGCATGGTGGAAGTTCTCCTAACACTGGAGCACAGGCCTGTGCTCATCAGGCTCTGGCCCACGTGCTCGAGCTGTCTCGTTCCAGGCTGCTTGTGACCTCAGTTTTAGTATAGCCTCTTTCCAGTGTGTGGTGGGCTGCTCCTTGTGGCTGGCTTCTCTAACTGAGACCTGGGTGGATCTCCTGAATCTTTCTGGAGGCACCCTCAGCCCTATCATCTCCCCTTTCCCCTCTGTTTTTTAAAATCTCCTCCTGATGTCTTGAACCCAGTTTCTTACGTTGTAGAAGGTAACATGAACGTTGCCGCATCAGGTAAAGCACCCTGCTGGAGGCAAACTCTCTCCAAGCCCCACAACTCCCTTATTCTTCCTTTTCTCTTCTTCATTTCACCCCACCGCAACCCCCATCCCCCACTGAATGGCCTAGTTTGCCTATTTTTTGTTTTTGTGCATATTTGTTCTTCTGTATATTTTCTCATTGATTAAGGTAGCTATAGAATACATCCAGTAGTGTGGTGGTTCTTCTGTTTCTTAACCACAACCGATCAGATTGACCTTTTAAGACATCCCTTCTCTCTAGCGTTTATTCGCAATAATCAATATTGCCATTCTTCCTCTTCTTTCCCTGTGTTTCCAGTAAACTTTGCATCCATAATTATCTAATACCCAGTCCTGCTCTTTTTGAGCCAGGTCTTCGTTATTGTCATAGCATTTCATTCCCTTATGACCATCTGCATCTGCGACTTACTAACCTTACTTATCATGCTTTGTGCTTTTATGTGCATGCACTGTAAACCTACTTTAGATCTTCCTCCATTCCATCTTACTCTAGTTCTAGCTGTTACCTTCTTATTTCTTACTCTGGTGGCATCTGTACCTCCAATGCATTGTTCATCTTGTTTCTCCTTTCTGATGCTACATATTGGTTCCTAACCTCTTGGCCAAGTTGGTTTTTACACTGTCCTTAGCAAAGGCATCTACTCCGTGAGGTTCAACCCAGTTGACCTGCATAGGCACTACCTCACCCAGAAATGGTCCCAATGCCCCAGAAACCTGAAGTCTGACTGTGTTTACCAGCCCTATAATGTTGTGCTGCGTCCCCTCCTGCCTGGATTACTTACCAGTGAGTAATTGGAAGCTCTGATATCTCAAGGTTCTGCTTGCTAGTTTCTTCCCTTGCCCCTAAAGTCTACCTGCAGAATCTGAGCCCTTTCTTTGCCTACATCATTGATACCAATATGGACCACAACCTCTTTGATGTTGGCATCTACAGAAATACTTTTCTGAACTGTAGAAGCTGCTATCATCATTACTTTCCCAAACTTCCTTCTGGCCCATCTCCCTGTAGAGCTGCACCAGCTGTGGACTTAGCTGTTGCTGTGACAGCACTCCTCAGACAGGCCATCACACTCACTAGTATTCAGAGGCCAATACTGACTGGGGAGCAAGTAGTATTCTGGATTTCTGCATTACCAGCCTGGTCTTACTTGACTGCCTGGTGATTACCCATTCCTCTGTTCCTGCATGCTGTTCACTTGGGGTGACCACATAAGAATCATACTAGCCATAGCCTCATGAAGTCATTTGAGCTATTTTATAACATCAGAAAACCTTTATTACTTGGCCGTTAACTTTTCATTGTTCATTGGATGCATGTTTATGACCAGTAGCCCTTGTTTTCTGCTGTTGCTTCTTTGAGTGACCTAGGACAGTGGTTCCCAGCTTTCTTCCACTGTGACCGTGTTTTGAGACACAAAAACCAGCATGAACGCACACCACCGCCCCCCCACCAAACACATAGTGAGACTGAGGGAGTGGTTGGGAGAGATGGGAGAAAGCTAGTGGGAATCTGAGAGTACAGCTGCCTGTTGGAGCCAGAGCCACAGCCAATAGTTCTACAATCGGTCAGAGGTCCATCATTGCCAAAGTAGCCTCAGCTCAGAGCTCACACCCAGAATAATAACTCGTGACTCGCATCTGTCCTAACCTCCGCTTCAGAAATCCTGGCCTAATGTTCCATCTGGACCAGGTGATGTGTGAATTTTTGGTAATGTTAATTGTTTTTTAATATGTTTCCTTCCTAATGTGCTTCAATCTGTTCAAGGTGTTTGTGAAATGCCATTTTGACTACAATCCAGCGAACGACAGCTTAATCCCCTGCAAAGAAGCTGGATTAAAGTTTTCTAGAGGCGACATCCTGCAAATTGTAAATCAAGAGGATCTCAATTGGTGGCAGGTTGGTGCAACTTTCCTGCAATACAACTAAGTTTTTAAATTTCAATTAGCTCTAAGACGCTATGGACAAATTTGTAGCTTTTGAATAATATTTAAAATATCCGCTTAAAACAAAATGCACTGTTTTAGATGCTCAAATCCCAAGAATGGGTTTAAAAAAATCCTTAAATTATGGAGCATTGGCTGAATGGTTTTTAAGTGAGAGGAAGCAAAAGGACCATTGTTAACTCCTATAAAGTTCGCAGAAACTTTAACTGTCTTTTGGTTCTGAAATAGTTCATACTTAATGGTGGAATACTGTGTTCAGGCTTTGTAGCAGACCCTGTATTATTTCATCTTGCTGACACACTGCTGTAGAATTTCCAAACAGCTGCTGCTTGTAGTGGAACCTTCAGAATCCACCATAAAGAACATCAAACAAGATGCCAAATTTCTTGACGTTGTGGCAGTTTTTGGTTATTGTAAGATTTGGTTCTGTACTTTTAGATGTAGAGTGGGGTAATGTTTGTGATTGATTGATTGGTTTTTGTCTTGCTCAGGGGAGGTGACAAAATTTGAAGCATTTGGATACTTGCATTACAAATTTTTGAAGTATTCCATTTTCCAGGTTGAGATTTGAAGCAAAAATGTAGTATTTTTTCTCATTTGATTCTGTTTGGTTTTAAGATTTGAAAATGTTGACCAGGTCAACCTTGAAATATGATTGACTCGTGGAATAGATTACCAAATAGGAAGTAAGCAGTGTAAGTTCAGGATCATTTAAAAGAAACAGTTGTAATGACCCAAATTAACT